TGTTGCGTGATATCTCTGCGCCCAAGTAGCAGTGCTTCGCCTGTGTAGAGTCTCCGCAACGGCTATAGATTGAAACGCGCGCCCGAGTGAAGATTGCGCAACTCGCGCAGCGCGTCGTCCATGCAACTGATAGCAGCGGACACGAGCGCTCAGCTTGATTTAAAAAACAACTGATTTTAGCGCTAGATCTCTTATTTAATAGCGAACTAAATGAATGATCTACTAGTTAACTGGAGATTTTTTATTTATTTGTGTTAGGTACATCCGTGCCTCAATGTTTCAAAAAGTGAATGTGTGTGAAACCATAGTAAAAAACAATTGGTGTTGATTGACGCCAATCGGACGTTCATGGTTTTTTCCGTCTATTTGAAAGTTAGGCTAATATAATAACATGTAGCATTCTATAAGGCCTGATTATGTCATTTTTTAAGTTATATAGCCTGCCTCCAGTTTTCCTCAACTTGACTAATTAAGAGGCGATATTTGACCGGCATATCATCAAAATGTCCGTTTACCGAAACCTCTGCCGGTCACTTTGACCGGCACCATTTTTTTCTAGCGGAAACTCTGCTACCATCCTACTAAGAAAAAATCCGTGTGGTATTTGATTGTGGAGCAAGTTTTCAGCGAACATCACTTAATGCTCAACTCTTGCAAGGACCAGACCTTACCAACTCACTCATTGGGGTGATAAGATTCCGAAAGGAACCAGTGGTGATCATGGCAGATGTTGAATCAATGTTCCATCAAGTAAGAGTGCCAGCTGATGATGTTGATTTGTTAAGGTTTCTTTGGTGGCCAGATGGGGACTTTAGGATGCGGGTACACCTCTTTGGAGCAACATCATCTCCTAGCTGCGCAAACTTTGCACTTAGGAAATGTGCACAAGATCATAAAAAGCAGTTCAACATTCCTTTTATGTTGATGATTGTTTGGTTTCAGTTACTTCAGTTGAACAAGCGATAACTTTTTACCAGGAGCTTGTATCCATATGTGCCAAGGGTGGATTTAGGCTCACAAAATGGATGAGCAACAGGCGTCAAGTGCTAGACGCAATACCGGAGGATCAAAGAGCAAAGACAGTGAAAGACTTGAGTATGGATTGGGATTCTCCATCAGTTAAGAGAGTGTTGGGAGTGCAGTGGTGCATTCAGTCTGACGTATTCAAGTTCAAGATTGCAACCAAAGACAGACCTCTGACCAGAAGAGGAATCCTATCCATGATTGGTTCCATCTACGATCCGTTAGGAATTGTGAGTCCTGTAGTGTTGTCTGCAAAAAAAATCTTGCAAGATACCTGCAAAGGAGATTCAGGATGGGATGATGTCTTGCCTGAATTGGTTATTAAAAAATGGACCACATGGCTGCAAGAACTTCACCATCTGGACAGTTTTGTGCTTCCCAGATGTTTAAAACCTCCCAACTTTGGTGACATCACAAATGCACAGTTGCATCATTTTTCTGATGCGAGCCAGGATGGATATGGAACTGTGACATACTTGCTTACACAACATGCATTCTCAAGTACATTGTGCTTTTATCATGGGAAAATCAAGAGTAGCACCAATAGGCTCTATGCACAGCTGCACTACTTCCTGAACTTCAGGCAGCTCCTTTGTTTCCTGTCTGCCATTATTGGACAAACTGATTAGTTCAGGTGTGCCTGACTAATGGCCACTTGTCAGGCACACCTGAACTAATCAGTTTGTCCCCGCCCCCCCAAAAGTGCCGGGGCGTGTGCTTACGATTGATTCAGCGAGAGTGGGGGCGGGGCCTTGATTTCGCGGCTTTACTTCCTGCTCACGACTGCGCATGACTGGTCCCGAAAACGCTACTGTGCAGACTCAAGTTCCAATATGTCAGCGCCATATCGGGACACTGGCGGCTTCAGTTCTCTCCAATGGAAAAGAGCGAAGGGGCGTTGTCCATCTTTTTTTTACAGTCTATGGTCGCACTCAGGGCAGTTGCAGGAAGCGCATATGTGCCGGTCTCCCCCGACGAGCGGGCCTCTACACGAGGCACAGGTGATGCGAGCCATTTGGAACAACGCCTCGGAAATTTGCTCTTAAAATTATTTTCTGTTGAAAACCAGATTTTTTCCACAAAAATCTATTTTTCCCTAAAAATAAGTCTGGAAAATGTGGGGGTCGTCTTATATTCAGGGTCGTCTTATATTCGGGTATATACGGTATTTATATTTTATGTTGGTTGGAATTCTGAACGGACTGCAGACCTCTTTGCGTGAACAACGAAGGGAGGCCAATGACTGAATCGGAATTTATAAGCAAGATCACGGGAATCAATAGCCTAATACAGCCCAGTTGTGCTAAAATAAATATCATGAGACGTCCATCATCAGATGAATGACATGGAAAAGTTAAGTTAGAGCCGCTAAAGCCAGTGCTACTACCCACGCGAACATGAACACTGAGCTTTTCCCTCCAAAAATATAGCCTAAAACTTATCTAAGTTGTCACCCTGCCTCTCCAAATGCAAAACTGACATTAACAAAATGCAATAACTGCTTAAAAATTACTTGTGTGTGTGTGTTTTATTTTATATTTACCGTTTAATAATGCAATCGCTGCTGTCTGTCCATAGAAGAAGAACATGACAGCCCGCGTATGTTTTGGAACGATTGGGGCTTACATTAACCACGTGACAGCCGTCGCGGCGGCATCAAAGCGTGTCGCAACTCTTTCTCTCTATGGCTCTGCACTAGACTAGAGACATCAGAGCCAGCGGCAAACATCATAAGGACTAGCCGAGGAAAAGCTGTTCCAGTCGGGGTTAATGAGCGTTAAACTCCAAAACGTCAGATACATTTTTCAAATAGGCGCTATCTTTATAAATAAACCACAGATTTGAGCTTTAAAAAACTACATTCTCGCCTGAAACACTCTTAAAATTACATTTCGTGACACAATAACAGTATTTTTATATTACGCGGGTTTTCTCCTTTGTTATTGCTTATTGATGCTTGCTGGTTGGTGCGATATGCAGTCTGGGAGACCTGGCTGTCTCAAGTCCGCACAAGCACAAGTCACCTTTCGATGCATCCTCGGTAAAGGGGATTACACATCCGGGGATTTGAACTGGACTTGGCTAGATGTGAACTAGGGCTGGCAATCGCTGGGTACTTCAGGATACGATACGAAATGCGATACATTGTTCACGATACCGATAATATCACGATATGGCGATACTGCAATAATCGGCATATTATCAGTAATAACTCACAATATATAATGTTTTAAGAAATACAATTTTTTTTTAATTAGGAAAATTAATCTCCATTTATTTTTTGAGATGAAACACAATAACAAAAACAACTTGTGTCTTATCAGCTGCAACAAAACAGTCACAGACACTATTTTAGTGTAACATTGCTGCAATCAGTCGTAATAAAAATGTTTACGCCGGGGTGTGTCGGCTTCGAGCCAGCACCAACCACGGCTTTCTCACAGAGCTCCGGGTGATGCCGCGTGAGGTGTCTGTACATGTGGTCGTGTTTCCCGTTTTGCGGACTTTTGCAAAGCCAGACATCCCAAGTCTCCCGGAAGTTCCGGGAGTCTCCCGCATAATGATAGCGTCTCCCTGATGCCTGCAAATTAGCTCAAATCTCCCGGAATCTAGAGCGCGCATGCGAGACAGAACAGCCTACTGCGCGCATAACATACATAGCACGGCAGAGAGGGAGAGAGCGAGAGACTTTGCGTGTGTGCCTCATGAAAGCTAGTCAAATCCAGTCAACTCGGATAATGAATAGAGCGTTTTATAACGGCTTTTAAGATCGATACTTGGCAAGAGCGCATCGAGAATCGATCGCGGGAGTAAATATCGTGAGATATCGCCATATCGATATTTTGGCGCACCCCTAATGTGAACTTTGAACAAGAGTACAGAAGTACCGAGGCGAAACTCTGTTGCAGTTTTGACAACAATAGGGACTTTAAGCAACAGCTGCTGATGGAACGGCAACGGCAGCCGGAAGTAAACGGTTAACTGCCGTAGCTAAAGAATGCAAAAATCACTAAGCAACAGTAAAGAGTATGGCATAGGGGATAATCTAATCATTTGACAAAAAACAAATAAAGAAAGTGATTTTAAAAAGCAGGAAAGGGTTGCTTTGGGCATTTATTGATACATAAAAAATTGCAATGCCACATACCATAAAACATAACATTAACTTTCTTAATCTTTCACGTAGTAGCGACTACGCCAAATCAGCTGTTCTCCCGTTGTAGACGGTTACAGTAGAACGTCGCGAAGTAGCAGTTGTGCAGTGAGTGCAGAGAAGTTGTGTGTGACAAGGAAAAGTGCAAAAACACTCTTGTATACATGGCTATCTCTTAACAAACAAGGATAAAGAAGTATCTTTTAAACTTTTTAAACGGGGGATTATGTGCATCATTGGGGTATTTGAAGTATACCTTTTTGGAATTTTCAGTGTGAACACACTAACGTTACTCACACTAGTTATACTTCAAAATGCCATTGAATAGTGCATAAGTACACAGATTGGGATGATTTTTTCTTTGCAACCTCTAAAAACGTATGATCTGTATAGTTTCAATATGTGTTGTATGAATGTAATCTGAACATACTACCAGTACATTCGCCACATTGTCATTGTCATGTGACTTACCAGCATCCCTTTAATACCATTCACTAATCCTCTCCCATGGCCTCATGAGATAGTAAAGGGTCCATATGTCATCCAGAACCTTTTGCTTACTCTTTTATGAGTACTGTGAATTTGGACATACTACTCTTGTCACTATACAGTAGGGGAGTATGCAATTTCAGATGCAGCCTTGGTTTTGTGTGTTCGTTTCATATTAATCCCAAAAAGGACAACATGATGGTATTTTTACACACACAAAAAAACATAATGATATGGGAGGGACAAATATATTTAGTGTTGTTAACATTAAGAAAATATATCCCTAATATTCGTGATTGTAAACTTAATAATCCTCCATTCTCAATGTGCTCAGAAGTGGCCTTCAGAAGTAGATGATTTTCGAGATGTCCATGTATCATTTTTCCTGCGCTGTAAGGATCTCTCTCTCCGAGTGCTCCGACTGATGGCTCTTGGGTTGGAACTGGAACCAGAAGTCTTCCTCAACGCACATAAGCAAATTGGAAGTAAGTACAAGTATGCACTACTTCTTCCCCCTAGTGCAGGGGTCGGCAACCCAAAATGTTGAAAGAGCCATATTGGACCCCAAAAAAAAAAAAAAAATCTGTCTGGAGCCGCAAAAATTAAAAGCTTTATATAAGCCTTATAATGAAGGCAACACATGCTGTAGCCTAAGTGATATATTAGCTTTATTAGTATCAAAACGATAAGTCGGCTACAAATTAGAGCTTAGATCGGGCCCAAAAAAAATCAAGCCCGGCCCGACACATTAAACGTAATTATGAGCCCGAGCCTGATTTTAACCCGACCATTTTTTAATGCGTGGGTCGTTATAACTGACGTTCTCGACTTTCTTTCTCCCGCCCGCAACATTTATGTTTTGTCCCGCTCCCGCCCACAAATAGACTTTTTTCTGTACCTCCAAATACTTTCAAGTTAGCCTATACGTGTCGCCACCATACATCCTCCTGATAAATTATAAAGCATTAAAACACAAACCACTGTTAATTTAACATAAAAGCAAGCAGTTTACTGCGTGCATGGTTTGCCATGACTGAATGCGCGCAAAGTGCGCTCTCTTAATAATTCCTAAAAAGCTGACAGTTCATCGCGATCTCACACATCTGTTATTATCAATGGAGCTGACTGCACAATGAATCTTTCATAATATCCACACTTTGTTCGTTATAATTAGAGGATTTGCCAGCATACAGAATTCAGCACTGAACAAAAACGTCAGTTTTGAGCGGTGAGGGGAGTCTATCTTAAATGCTTCTGATTGGCCATTGCGTTCAAGAAATCAACACATGTCTGTGATTGGCTACATCGCTCAATGCTGCAAACACGTTATTAATAGAAATTCTGGCCTGTAAATCGTTTCTATTTTGTTTTAGTAGAGTGAGTGCATTACCGCACGCGCCCGCGCTCGCACTCGCCCATCAAATCTAGTTCCGCGCCGCACTCTATTGCGTTGGGAGTGCTCAGCTATCTTTCTCTTTTTCCCCTTGGGGTCCATGGCCCATGACACACCCGCCGGTTTGTTTGTTTGTTTGTCAGCCACCGGTCTAGCATCACGCCGATCTGACAGACACGTGTGTCACAGTCTATGACGTAAATTCTTTATTGACAGAAATGTTGAAATTAAATATTTATTATACACATTTTTACAACGTTGAAAAACTAAGAATATTTGTCATGTTTTTCCTCCTACAGAAATTACATTAAAACAAAAAATATTTTTTCCATTTTCAAATTTTTGAAAAAGCTCAAGGGAGCCACTAGGGCGGCGCTTAAGAGCCGCATGCAGCTCTAGAGCCGCGGGTTGCCGACCTATGCCCTAGTGAGTCAATGGCTCAGAAACACCTTTTATGCTGTGGTTTGTTTTAAGGTGATGTGAATGCAACCACACTCCGGTCTCTGTACTACCCTCCGGTGAACAGCACATGTGTGAAGGAAAATCAGCTGCGCTGTGGTGAACACTCGGATTATGGGAGCATCACTCTGCTCTTCCAAAGCCCAGAGAGTGGATTGCAGGTGAAAATAAATATATCTATATATATTTTTTACCATGTTTGGTACTTTCCTGTTATACGGACCCCACCATATACCATTTCAGAACTATAGTCATCCCTGATTGGTCTTAACCCTAGTGACGGGTAGGTTTAGGGGCGGGGTTAGGGGTAGGCCATCGTGGGGTTCGGATAACAGGAAAGTACCCCATGTTTAATGTTGTCCTCTATCATTACGGATGCATGTGACTGTGTGTTTGGCTCTGCATGTCTCTGTGTGTTCTCCAGGTTCTGAACCGGGCTGGTGAATACGTTTCGGCTCCAAGCATTCCTGGAACAGTTCTGATTAACATAGCAGACCTGATGCAAAGGTGGACCAGTGATGTGTACGTGTCTGCGGTACGTTTCTTAACTTTATAAGGCATTTCATTTAATAGAGTGCAACAGTCGGGTTCCGGAAGTAAAAACTCCCAATTTTCTCCATAGGGAAATTGATTTTTGACGATAACCTACTGTTATTCACCTTTAAAAGTAGGGTAGGCAATTTCAGAGCGGCTAGCAATAGATAGGCTAGCTTTGAAAGCACAAGATCCAAGATCAAGCAGCGCTGACGTGGAAACCAGGAGAAACATTGTGCCATGAATGAACTAGGCTTTAAGTCTACAGATCAGCAACATTCACCATGGATTTAATGTAGCAACACTAACTGTAACCATGGAAGTTTGGCAGGAATAGTAAGATGCTTTCAAGTGTGTCGTACATCTTTTTCCAGCACTTCAAAACAAAAATATTATCATTTTTAAATGTTATTTTTAACGTGATGACCAAAACATTATTTGTTCATCCTTCAAAGATTACCCTCATTTATAAAATAAAAAATTGTAAAGTGTTGGACTGCTAAAACTAATATAATTAGTTGTTTGCCTTAATAATGTGAATACATAAATAAAAACAGTGGTATAATATTAAACCTTGTCTTAAAAAAAAGGTTATAAAAATGTCAATAATGATCGATACCGAACGATATGAAACATTATATCGTGATACATTTTTAGGGCTAGATCGCACAGCCCTAGTCCTGAGAATTCCACAGAAGATATATGTACATGTTTAAATAAAAATGGTTTCTCTCAGGATGAGAAGAGTTTTAACCAGTATAACAAAATGTGTTATAAAAAATATTGCCTACCTTTAGCCTGGCAAGCCAGACCTACATCAAGATGTTAGGTCTTGGAACTCACAATTGGCATACCTCAATCCAAGGGGCGGGATAAACGGTGTCTTTCAATATTCCTCGGATAGCGCTACAGCCAACCAGAGCAACGAACGGCTGTGGCTGAGTGAGTCCCATGCGTTTTCCCACCAGCGGAGCTAGTTGATAAATTAAACTTTTGCCGTATCCGATCGTCAAAACTCCGAACACATCTTCCTTTTTTTAAGAATGACTTAAGTGACATTCTCTAAACTCCAAGTCCTCCAGAGGCCAAATCCGATTCGACAGACCGCTGTTCGCCAGCAGCATCTTCTTTGTTTTCAAGTAAGGTTATCAGGGAAATTCCCTATGGAAATCACGCGGAACCGTCACAACTCTGCCGTCATTGTTAAGCACGCCCACCAACTTTATACACGATGTGATTGGCCTGACCAGAGTTTGTTTTTTCCAGCTCGAAAAGCCAACGGAGAGTTGCTAGACTACACTTTGCTGCAAAATAATTTTTGCTGCCGCTAGGGTGCGTCTAGATTTCTAGGCTAGCCTACCTTACCTTTAAAGACAGACCTTTCGTGAGCTATGAGGTTGTTAATTGATGGTATATGTTTTTGTTGAAGCAATCTTTACCATATTCACTTAATTTCTTATTTCTAAAATAATTGTTTAAAAGTGGATTTCTTGGTGGAAAACTACATTACCCATGATGCTGTATAGAAAATGACACACAGAGCTCTGCAGAAGATAATGTTCACTCCTATGAACACCATGAATAAAGGAATCGAGTCGGTCTCCCTCAATATATATTTAATTCATAACTTCAAAGGCAGGCCTTGTCTGGCCCAACAAATTATATTTTCTTTATCAGGTTAATCTCAAATTTTAATATTTGAAATAAAATTATAAAATATTGCAAACCATAATAAATGTATCCAAAATAATTGATTGTCAATTTAATATACCCAATAAGCCACACAATAAAGTATAGAAAAAAAATTAAGAGGATATTTAACATAATGTGTTTAAAATATCTACTGCAGAAGAATGGTGGTTTGGTTCATGGCTTAAAACGATTTAATGAAGATTTTCCCTATTGGAAAAAAAAAAATCCGGAATCAACTCCGCTGAAAAAGTAGGCAGGCACTAATGCACTCTATTGCACTGGCAAATGCTTGTTTAAAGGGGTGGTTGATTATGATTTCACTTTTCTAACTTTAGTTAGTGTGTAATGTTGCTGTTTGAGCATAAACAACATCTACAAAGTTGCAACATTCAAAGCAAAGAGAGATATTTGCTTTTAAAGAAATCGTTTTTTTAAGGACTACAACAAACGGCTGGTAGGGACTACATGACATTCCTCCCGGGATAGTGACATCACCAATCCTAGAATTTACATTAAACCCCGCCCCCGGGAACATGCAGTCCATATTGAGAAGAGGAAGAGTTGTTGTAGAAGAGCACATTTGTGACTTCAAGCTCAAGCTGTCGCATCCATCTTTTAACATGCAATACAGTACGCAACACAAATGCAATATCATGTCACCCTGTAGGCATCTTACAACAGCTCATTTGCATTTAAAGGGACACACACGAAACGACACGTTTTTACCGACCTTCAAAAAGGGACAACTTTAACATGCTGTAAAGAATTGGGATATTGAGCTAAAACGTATTTTGAGCTAAAACGTCACATACACACTCGGGACAACAGAGACTTATTTTACATATTGTAAAAAGGGGCATTATACCACCCCTTTAACTTTTCTATTCTAAACCCTTCAGGCTCACAGGGTTTTGATGCCCCCTGCAGGAGACTCCAGCACACGCCAGTCTTTGGCTTTCTTTGTACACCCTGATGATGAAGCCATCATTTCATGCTGCGATGGATCCGATAAATATCCTCCTGTTAATTCATTTGATTACCTTTTATCAAGGTTCAATGATACCTATGGCAAAAAACAGGCTCTGGTTTAAGTGGAAGTTTACAATTGAATATAAAAAACAAAGTGGTAATAATCATCAAAGCACATAATTGGTGGAGCTGAGATAATTTAATTATATTTTAAAGAAATGTACAGCACAGTCACTTTTTACTCTCACAAAGAAAACTCAAACAAGCCAAAATTGCCTCATGAATGCACTATTTTATGATTAATTGAATTTCTGTAAAAATAAATTGTCACTTGTGATTTTTTTTTTTTTTAAATCACAGGTGTTGCAGTAGTAATTCATCAATTTTAAGAAACTTTGTACATCTAGGATTGACTTTCAACTGAAGCTAAAGTAAAAAGATGTATTACAAAACAATGCCAATGTAGCCTGTATTTAATTAAATGTTTGTATGTGATGATGTTGTTATGGTTATCCTGTGTTGATATTAATGTGTTTTTTTATTCTCTGCACCTTTATTTTACACCTAAATCTTTAGTATTGGAAGTGTTGTACAGAAGGAATGCTGAATTGTAGTACTTTTAATATGACTAAATATGAAGAGAGATTTATCTTCTGAGGTTTGTGCAAATCAGACCATTTAAAATAGTTAACATCTCTAAACACACATTTCAAGTACAGTCCCTGTCCTCACAAACTGTAGACAAAAGTGTGATTGTCTGATTACATACTTTGGGATACAATTACTAAAGTTTGGTGAATATTGTTTTGTGTTTGATAATAAGGAATGCCAATGTATTTGCTAAGAGACAGTAAATGGTTCTTTTGAATGTGAGAAGGGAAATATTTTACATTACATACAACAGACATACACCATACAGACACAGAGAAGAGCTTGAGCTGCTAAAAATGTGCGGGAAGGTCTTGCTGGTGACCTTGTGACATAGGCCGAGCGTCCCCAGGCATTACCTCCACAGCAGAAGGCACTGCATTTGCCAAAAAACAAAGAAAATGATGATAGAAAATCAATATTTTGTTCCTTGTGACAGGGCATAGGACTTTAACCCCAAAAATGTAAAAGAACTGCACCGACCTTTGGCCTGCACTGGAGTCTCTGTTTTCTGTATTTTCAACCGCTCCATGTGCTGAACCGCCTAAAGGAAACAAATAGGTGAATAATTAATACAATGTTTGAAAGTTTTGCGGTAAGGCAGTACTAGCTTGAACACATTTCCGTTATGTTTTAAAAAAGGTAATAGTTTATAATGACAAGAATGTCAGCATCAGGTAAATGCAGTGCAACAAAATGTTTTTCACTCAATCAAATGTTGGTAAGATTTATGCTTTTGAAAGAAGATTCTTTTGCTTATCAAGGTTGCATTTATTTGATAAAAAATATAGTATTAAATGTGAATTTGTTTTATACATTTAAAAATGTAATTTGTTTCTGTAATGGCAAAGATGAATTTCCACCAGCCATTAATACTTTGCTTTTTAAAATCCATTTACGGTCCCTAAACTTTTGAATGATATTGGAAACAATTATATTATATAGACTAAAGTAAAAAAAAAAATTAAAACCTTTCTTTAAATGGTTGGGGGTGCTTAATTGATTTGGAAATATTGCCAAAAATCATAATGGGGGAACCCGTGTATCTCTCACTCAGTGTCTGGGTGCAAGTTAGGGTCGCTCTTCTACCTGCTGTAGTTCCAGTTTATTGGCGTTAAGCTGGTCCTGTTGTCTCTCCAGCTCCTCCCGCTGTTTCAGAAGGTCATTTGTCTTCAGGTTAAGGTCGTGCTCCTCTCGAGCGAGATGCTCCTCAAACTCTCTCAACTCTTCTTCTGTGTAGACTGGATTCTGCTCCAGAGTCTCCAGAGGAAGCAGACAAAGGACATTTATGTAAAGACAATTTTACTCTACCTCTCAAAAGATTGGGGTCGTAAGATTTTTTAAAACGTTTTATGTTCAACCGAGGCTGCATTTATTTAGTCAAAAGTCAAATCTACAGTAAAATGGTAATATTGTGATTTATTATTATAATTTGAAATAACTTTGTATTTTAAAATGTAATTTATTCCTATTTCTTCAGTGACAATCCTTCAGATATCATTCTAATCTGCTAATATGAAAAATGCTAATGATCAATATTGAAAACAGCCGTGCTGCTTAAAATTGTGGAAACAATAATAAAAAATTTCAGCATTCTTTAATGAATAGAAAGTTCAAAAGAACATTTATTTCATCTGTAACATTATAAATGTCTTTAATAAATGTATGACCTTGTTGAATAAAAGTATTAATTTCTTTAAAAAAAAAAAAAAAAAAACTGACCCCAAACGTTAAAACAGTAAATATCATGAAACCGTTCACAAACAGGGTCGATTTTAATTTCATGTTGAATTAAAATGTTAAATTACCTCCCATCCACCTGGCTCTTGAAATTCTTTCCTATCTGTGGCAGTAATAAATTCATTTAGTGAAACAAGCCTGTCTCTGTTAGTGTCAATCTATGGACAGACAATACATAATAAATAATTACAAGATTTAAAATAATATCATTACCACATTTAATCCCCAGCTATGATTCTCCCACCTCATTCATCACATGCTCTCTCATACGAAGTCTGTCCTCCTCCATTTCCTGCATGTCATCCTCTTCACGTGCGGGATCATAGATCTTCTCTAGCTGGACACGGTGGAGACAAACATCAGAGTTAGCATCCCATAAAGCCACGTCATTGTCAAAGATTCACTATTGTGTTAGCCCTGAACGGAAAGGTTATTAAGTGGAACCTCTTTGGTAAACAGCGCCTCGAGCTCTTGCTCATCGAAGTAGCCATCTCCATTAGTGTCTGTGAGAGCAAACAGATGTCAGAGTCGTGCAGTGATATCATCTACTGTGTTCAGAACGGACAAGCTCAATGATCTCACCATGCAGGTTGAAGAACGTCTTCGGGTCAAACTCACTGGGATCCAACCCATCAGATTCCTGCCAGACCTCTTTCAACTGGTCTTGACTACCCTATTTATGCAGAACAAATCCTCAACAATGACATTTTAAATGTTAGATTTTATGATTCAAATGTAATTTACTCAAAATCTTTAATTATCCAACATTTAAAAATGTGGTGTAACCGAAATAGTGACAGATCTTTCCTTTCATATTCTGACGAAGTGAAACGGGTTATAGAAAAGAAAAAAGTAGGAGAGATCTTGATTCTTATGAATCGTTTTTTGATTGGCAGATTTGAACGCAAACTTGCAGTCGATTGATTGGAGAAGTCTTGCATACATCACATTTTAATTAAAAATTGTTCACAGTAAAGTGGTAAAGGGATGATGCATTTTTGTAGGCCAACCCGGTTTCCCTTGACGAAAAAACTATAGGATTTTTCCAGATTATTGCAGAAAATATAGTCTGTGACAAACAAAAGCTTATGATTCTTCATGATATTACATGATAATCTTCACAAAGTCACATCACTAAATTTCAGTCTTTAAAACATTTTCTCTGAAAGTCCGAGTTGTAAACGCAATGAGGCTGTGTAGATGAGTTTACCTGTTCAGCTCATTTAATCACGTTACCCCACAAGTAAAAAAGATATTACTGATGTATTTTATATCGCAGAACAAAACGTGAAAATATCTTGAGCTTGTGTTTAACCATAAATCCATTCAAAAAACCCATTGACTTCAGGAAGATGGAACTGGAAGTGCTAAAATTCTGGAAGATGGAACTGGAAGTGCTAAAATTCTAACTCATTTCCAGGTTTTAGCCTATAAAAATATGTCATTACTGCACCACTCTCTAAAATCAATAACGTGAATTTAGAAAATAGATTGGGTGAATTTCCATCTTAAGCGACTTTAAACATAAACATAGAAAGTGTTAAAAAAAATGTGGACCACTCGTGAAAATGCTTCTATTTATAATAGAATTAAAAAATGATAATAGAATTAAGCAATATCATAAACTGGCTTATTTGATGATAACAGTAGTTCAAGAAGTGTGTATTTTGCTTACAGGGTGATTGATTTTGGGATGGTCTGCATGTTTCTTCTTCATCTCTTCGTAGTGTTCCTCCTCTTTTTTGCGCGCTTCCTCATCCAGCGTCTTAAGATGTTCCCTCCGATCGAGTTCCTTCATCATCTCGTACTTCTTGAACTCTTCGTGTCGCTCCTTGTCAAAGTTTTCCAGGTCATTAGTGGCCTTAACAAACAAAAAAAAAGAAAGAAAAGGAAACCAGTATAAAGGAAAATGTGAATGTGAAGCAGAGACCAACAACTCACTGTGTAGATCTCCACCCAAAACTGCCAAGTAAACTTAAATTGCACTTGGCAAATAAAACTTCCTACTTGATTAGTAACTTTATTAGAACCTGTAAGAGTCTTGTTAGAAGTCTTCTGTACAACTTTTTCCTTTTTATCTATTATCAGAAATTAATCTTGGACACATTAAGCCACCAAAATTTACATTACATTTACATATCTAAAGCAACTTTTCACTGGCCACAATTTTGACATCGATACAACGGGGGAAAAAACGCCATAAAGATATTTTTAATATCACATAATTTGGCAGCAGGTATATTAGGCTGCTGTCACTTTAAGACCTGACACATGGATCCATTACAGTTACACATGCATTTCTTTCTCAACTGTTTACATTCACTTAAAACATAACTGACTGTTTACGTAAAAACTTGCCAAGACAGGCATTTTGACATTATTTTGTGTGTATTTGACTGTTTAAGCGCAATGCAGCAAAAAATAACTCAATTTAGTACTGAGATGCGGCTTGATGTGCGCGAGAACAAAATCTGCAGAAATTAGAAAATGATGCGCAATAAGCACAATCTCGCCGAAATTTAAACCCTGTAACACCAACAATATTCATCCAGAGCAAGTGTAACAAGTGATTGAGGGGAGGTGGGTTTGTGTGTCAATATGCACAGTTCATGCAGTCCATGGGATTCAAGAACATGACCTCGGTGTTGCTAGCATCATGCTGTACTGTTTGAGCTACAGGAACAATATTGAAAGGTTTTTGTGACAGGTGCAGTTTCACTGAGAGATAGAGATTGGCTTCTCTCGTATGATGCTTGCTTGTGATAAATTACCTGTCATTTTTTTGGTCAAAAATACGGAAGGAGAAACAGCGAAATCAATAAAATCTTTGTCATAGGGGAAAAAAACCTCACATTTTATTTGATCTTTAAATATATAATATAGTAATAAATACTTATGTCCAGAAAATTTTCACCAGCCTAAAATGTAAAATGCCAGCCCGAACCCCGCCCACAACATTTTTTGGTCGGGAAGTTCGGTCTGGACTCGATCCATTGAGGAGTAATTATGATCGGTTCAGAATTAGTCGGGCCAATCAAATTGCCAGGGCGGGCGTTATACGATGATGGACAGATGATCTGCAGTTATGTAATCATCACGTTATCAAAGAGCGCTAGGGTTGAACTGGTTTCCCTCAGAGATGACTGCAGCTGGAGAACTGAGATGTAGAGATCCCGCTATCGAGTCTGTTGTAAAAGAAATCGACAGCGCATTCATTTTAAAAGACGAACAGAAAACTGCAATCTAGGCATTTGTCGATTGGAAAGATGTGTTTGCCGTCCTTCCTACGGGATACGGCAAAAGTTTATTTTATCAGCTGGCTCCGATGGTCACTAAGAAGACGGGACGCAATGAAAGCCCTGTGGTCGTTGTGGTTTCTCCTTTGGTCGCACTCATGGAGGACCAAGTAAAAGAAGCAACACTCATTATTTTACTACTTCTTCCAGCGTGCGTGTAGTTGTGTTCTCTTGACAACTTTGCGTAGCTCATTAAAAAAAACACTTACTGCGTTGCTCTGATTGGTTGTAGGTCTATCCGATTGAGTGCAGAGTTTGTTTTTTCCCTGGTTCGGTTAAGACACGCCTCATAATCAAAGCCCTATGGAGCAGTATCACTCACATTCTGACTAGAATATGAGTATGACGAAGTCAGGCTACAAATGTGTGACATTTATTAGTGAATGTAGAATGAAACCAACAGGAAGTCTGATTTAGACCCTACCGATTGAATGAGGCGATCCAAGTCTTCCACCTCGAATGTGTGTGGATTCATGTGATTCAGATGCTCAAACTGTTTCAGAAGGGCCTGGTGGTCCACTGTCGTACCTTGAGGGAAATGGAAAGCATCTCATTTTTCATATGTTTCTTGTCTTTGCAGCAGGCTAGAGTTACTGGCCTATAAAGTAAACCGTGATATTGAGTTTGATGAATGACACTCTCAGATAAAACATTCTGTATCTTTCCATATCTGTGCTCTCCGAGCCTGCCGGCCGTAAATAAAGAAAGGAGATGGTGGAGGACATTTCACGATATGCTACAAGACAATAACAAAAACAGTTGTGCTTGTAATGAGATTCCTGTGCTACCTTTTTCTCCATTCATGTCTTGTTTGACTTTGATTAGGGTGCGCAGTCGGTTCACTTCTTGCCTCTTTAGCTCATCAAGTTTAGTTCTCACGTGATGGCTGACAAAGTCCAACTCTTTAGCCAGCTTCCCTTGCTGTTTTCGCCAAATAGGGAGTGAGAGGTAAGCAACACAGTGTTTAGACAATCTGATTTAACCTCTGCAAAGTAAAATTGGAAAATAAAGTGCTGCAATACCTTGATGTCTTCCATGTCTGTGTTATGAAGTTTATCTCTGAAATGTGGGTCCTTTTCCAGGAAGTCAATAACCTCTCTGAGATATCGATCATAGTGCAATCCAGTGTCCTAAATAAATGTAAATTAGATGTACACATTGAAGTAAAAAGGAGACCAGGAACAATCTTTTTAAACCCACGGGCACCGGATAATGAACGTGTAGCCATTCTGTCTAGGTCAAACACACCCCATTCTCCTTATTGTAAGCATCACATTATACTGTTTATAATACATGCTTACAAAACCTTTCTGAAGTTTTCAAACTGTATGTCAGCAAAAAGCGTCACACCCATTCAAACAATAGACCAGCATATCTCACATTAGTATGAACACTTGTATACTAGTATAAAGTTAAAAACTATTTTTTAAATTAAATCAGATTACTAACTTCACTTTTCGGTGGGCCCAGTTCCTCGACGGGAGGGCTCACTTTGGTTTTATCCACAGCAACTGGCAGTGCATCCAAACAAGCCCACAGACAGAGTATCAAGCAGCAGTGTGACGGTCCCCACATCTGTGAAAGGACATGAACGTCACAGGTCATTTTTGATGTTGATAACTTAGTAGACTGAATAAGTGCATATATATGACTGAATTACTGCACACACACATGCTGTGTACATATAAGTAAAAAAGAAAGACAATTCTGTCATCATTTACTTGCTCTCAAATTGTTCCAAACTTGCATGAAATTCTTTCTTCTCCTACACAGACAGACACACACACACACACACACACACACACAATATTTTAAAAACTAAATTCTGGTAATCAAACAGTTGATAAACCCAATTTGACTTCCCATCAACTGTTTGGTTACCCATATTCTGCAAAATATCTTCTTTTGTGTTCAGCAGAAGAAGAAAAAAAAACTCATAAACGTTTGGAACAACTTGAGGCTGAGTAAGAGTAAATGATGACATAATTTTCAGTTTTAGGTGAACTATCCCTAGCAGCAGGTGTCATCACTAACGGCCAATCATCGTCTTTAGTAAAGTGATGCAAACTAAATACAAACTTGTTATGAATACAAACTAAAACAAAACATTTATACGTCATTATCTTTTTTGTTTTTAAAGGGAGCTTAACTACAACCAAAGCGTGACGTCACTGGCACGTGTTAGATAAACCTTGTCACTCTCTGTAACATGCAAGATATCGTTTTCAATAATTACGAGCAAATAAACCCAAATTATGTGTTCAGACTGAAATCATATCGGTAAACAATAGGTAATAAATGGCGCGAATTTCTTACCTTCTTTTACTTTGAACACAAAACTATATTACCCCCACCATACGTGTCTAAGCATCAGCTGTAACAGAATAGCAGCTGATATTGTAAGACGCAACAGGTGAGCACCTACCCTAAAAGATCCCCTGAGAGTAGTATTTACACACTCTCTCGATGTAGCTGTCTTCGTCTCGATCAAGCCTTACAGATAATCGCTCTGACAAATCATTTGCAACTTGTTTTACCTGATGTGCTAAACACAGTTCCTTAATGGCAACGATTTAGCCACGCCCCTCGCTCTGGTGATTGGAGGAACCGTGGCGCTTCCTCCTTTGATTTTTAAGCGTTGGTCTGTCATTGGGCATGTTATCTGTCTGTCAAAGGTTCCCATGGCAACTTGGCAAGTGCGCTTGTTATAAGAGGTACGTGGCGTTCACTTGTCCACTCCACACAGCTCCAAATTGAAACAGTTGAGTGTCATTCACGCTTCTTTTGGCAAGACGACACAACCATCACTCAACTGTTACCTTGGTTGTGTTTGTAAGGTGGGTTCTGACGTTCAATTCCAGATGTTAAAAGACTGGAACATATATATTAGTCACTGGTTAGCGTTAACAAAGGACTTTTTCACAGACTGTGATGACGGGTTTACTTTGAACTGTCATTAGCATCATAAATCATGTAAAAAGTACATTTTTTTTTTTTAAATGTATGTACACTTATACTACTGTACTTTCTATTATATTACCGTTGCATTTCTTTTTTTAAACAAACAACAACATTATCCTGTGAGGATGCTGAAGTGACAGTACAATTAACATCTTTCTTCTGACTGCCATTCAGGCGCGGAGTTTGCGGGGGGGCAGGGGGAGCATTGCCCCCCCTGGTGGCTGAAACCCGTTTAAAAATTTTTTTGCATTGTAAAAATATATATATATTATAAATATTTTAAATAACACAAAACAACTAAATGGTGGTAGGTAATACACATCTGATTTTATATACTGCTTTAGTAAAAAAAAACTGCAATGGAAACAGGTTTTGCGCATTTACAGTCAGCTGACTTAGAGAAGACGCGGGGATAATAATAATAATTATTATCATCATTATTATAACATTTATTAGGCTACATATGTAGAAGACGCTTATCAAAAAAAAAAAGGAACAAAGCAATTCGTCACGTATCATTCATAATACAGGGCTAAGATGATCACAAATAGGCTAAACAAGATTTTGACGCATATCCAAGTGTGTGTGCGGAATGTGGAGTGCGCACTGGATGGCACGGAGGCGCGGGGCGCGGGCGCGAACACTTGCATTTTCCTATCAACAGTGGAAACAACTTAAAATAGGCTAGCCTACTCTATCATTTCTGGTCAGAAAATAATAATACATTATTCGCAACTACTTTTATTTGTGTACACTCACAATAACAAGAAAACGTTGTGCTTTTGTAAAATAAAATAAAACAATCAGGCGCGCTTCATGGTCTCCGTGAACTGAAGCGCTATAACTGAAACAAAATAGCCTAAGCTAAAGCTTGAAATGTCCACTTTAAAACGAACAAATTCGAATCGAAAGCTAATACCCTCTGATTATGTAATCGGTATGAGAGGTGCATTTCTCTCTAAAGGTGCATCCTTACAGCGGAGATGGAGATATGTTTTAGCCGACACTGATTTTTTATTAATAAACAATTAAAATGCCTTGTTATTTTTTCAGACACATTTATTAATTATTATAGCCTATAACTCACCTATAAATCCCCTTTCTGTATAGCCTGTGGTTATCTTCTCATTCAGCACTACGGGAAAAATATAATTTCCAGGTTCTAATTTGGCCTTAGAAAACCAGTTAAATCTACATTTTTTTTTCATATTAATTTGTCAATATTTTAAATGTTTAATAAAGGGGCAAAAAGTAATAAACAAAAATCTGAAAATTCGTCCATATTAATTATTTTGCGCAGCATTTGGTGTGTAGCAGTTAAAATTAAAATTTTGGTGTTCGACTTTGCGTTTTAAAAATACAACCGTTTATTTTTCGTTTTGCAATTACGGGTTAAATAAGGAAAAACGAATGGACACAAAAGTACACTGACCGTTTGGACATAATACGAGACAGAGTTCTTTATTAAATTCATAAAAGAAACAATAATTACAGGAATACTGGATTCTAAACCTCAAAGAAATGCCACAATCAAGACCTCGGAGCAGAAATGAGGGAGAAACAGCCAGGAACTCTTAGGCTACAGGCTATGTGCCGTTCGCAGTATTAAGGGTCTGCCATTAATGCTTGGATAACACCACGTCTCCTTCCATTAATAATAATAATGTCTAGTGCGGTGGCTGTGATATATAGCCTAGGCTTTAAACCTACCATGCGTTTACCATGGTTTTTGGAATGACTTATCGCGAGAGGAAAAAAATACATTTTAGTCGCATAACATCGGTTAATTAATGGAAACGCCGTCATTTCGCAATAGTTTTTTTATGGACATTTAGAAAAAGTCGCAAGGTTTTGCGCAAATCTGTAATGGAAACGCGCCTAATGATTACTATGAATGAATGAATGCTACAATGATTTTTTTTTTGCCCCCCCTGGCTCGAATGTCAAACTCCGCCTATGCTGCCATTATCGTCTATATTCTCTCTTTTTGAAAGTTGTGAGAACACTGTTTTGGAGTTTCTCTTTTGCTATAGGCTATGAGCAAATGGGAACACGAAAAATATATTTAATGTAGTAGTCTCTCATTCACCATTATAGAAGTTTACCCAATGACGACTTCTGCTTCTGAGAAATGCAACTAACGTCAATCAAATGGGTAAGAACATAATGTAGGCTACCTCAGAAATGAATTGGCCCCATAGGACTCAAATAGAACAATTTAATATATTTTTAAGATCTAAAATGCTGTTGTATCCTAGATATAATTATGGTAGGATTAGCTGCAAATCATGTCTTTACAATACAAGATCGACTACACATTTTTGGCTTTTAAGCATTTTATTAGAAATATTTTCTCTATCTCTTTGCAATGTCTATATCTAGCCATTAGATGGCACTTAAAGTCTATCAATAGGATATGCAGGCCTTTCCTAAACAGTGCTTTTGAGTCAGTGTAACAGTGCTGAACATAAAGACAGACACAAGATTAAGTTCCTATTTTAATACATGAACGAATTAATTGATGTCTTTGTATGTAAGTGTTTCTAACTTTCTAGTTACAGTATAAAGAATAAGACCAGGTAGGTTAGTTGGGAAGATGCTTAAGTATAATAAAATAAAATAAAAAGTATTTAAGGTAATACTTTTTTTGGTGGTCATGTTTGATGCCATCTGCGGATAGATTTAGCTTTTTCTTTTCCTTGTTAATGAATTATTTAAACGTTATATGATGTATTTTCTAGGTAATGTTGTCAGGAAAATTTGCTTTATTAAGTGCAGAGTCAGATCGCCCAATTATATTATGTCTGGATTTAGAGAAGTCAAAGATAATTTCAGGTACTGCTTCTGTAATACAAAACGGCATCATATAGGTAAGCGTCACCATCCTTATTTGTTCCTTTCTTCCTGAGCATATGTTGTTCTCATAACCTTTTGAAAACAGCTGCTGTTTAAAGAAACTTATCTAAAGATGTAGTCAATAGAGCCATCTGGTGGTTTTTGTAGATTTAATCTAAGAAACAACAAAGACATTTGAGCAACATAATTAAACTGGCTGTTCCTGTGCCTGGAAATGTATGAATAAAATAAATGCTGCAATATAAAGTCTGAGACCAGTTAAAAAAAACATCTGTACATATTTCTAAATGAATATATTTAATGTTTTTATTGCAATTGTATTGTCCTGTTATATATATATATATATATATATATATATATGTAATAGGGCTAAGTTAAAAATATTGATTTCTAGATTTTTATCGATTGCTGTTACAGCTTGCATTTCAGCGTGGGATTGCGTGTATTGCACATAATTTTATTTATTCCCTCCCTCATATTTTATACTCCTGCAGTGCACACATAAAGCTGCCTCTCAGTACTAAACAGAGTTATTTTTTGCTGCTTATTGCACTTAAAATACACACAAAATAACGTCAAAATGCCCGTCTTGGCGAGTATTCACGAAAACACAAGTGAGCGTAAACAGTTGAGAAAGAATATACATGTGTAACAGTATAATGGATCCGTGCGTCACATCTTAAAGTGACAGCAGCCTAATATATCTGCTGCCAAATTGTGAGATAATATTTAAAATATCTTTATGGCAGTTTTTTTCTCCATGGTATCAATGTCAAAGTTGAAATGCTGAGAGGCTAGTAACTTTTAAAGACCACTACAACATGTAATATTATTGTAATGTACCAACTGGTGTTCCCATAATATATAGAATTAGGAGACATTTATTTTCTTTGAATATTTACCATGTACTGTACCTGATACTTAGCGCAATTAATCGATATGGAATTGAATCGAAATCGGAATTGAATTGTATCGCATGCTTGAGACTCTAAATCAAATTGTGAAATTTGTCAATACCCAGCCCTACATACAAGTAGAGTGCTTTCGTGGTAAAAGTGATTTATTTGTTTTGATTGTTGAAAATGACTGACTGAATGAATTCTTTACCATAAGCAAGTCTCTTTTGAACTTCACTAAATTAATGTGCATGTGCCACTCAAACCAGCAACAGAAAAAGGAGCAATGATCATCTAAATCAGACTGTACTTTGCTGTTTGGTGATGGTGCATCAAACCACATTTACAGTCATGTGTCATGGGTGAATATATGCAGGTTATAAAGCTTTTAAGGTTTCTTCTCATCATGCAAGCGCATGTTATCACTTTGAGAAAACAATGAAAATAATAATATTTACAGATGCCTGTGCTATTTACTGAAAATAATGCTGTTAAATTTGTTGGGTCTAAACCTCTTTTGGAAGGAGGTCTGGAAAACTATAGCATTTTGAAATGGGAAAATGTGTAGGAAGCCTAATAAGAACTTGATTGGCCCAAAGCAGACTTCTTACGTCAGCACGTTCTGACGTGATCATACCGGTGATTTTCATTCCGTGTTCACACGGAGCACATTATCCGTAAATCACCGGTAATGTTACAACTTTCCTCATTGGTAAATTGCCGGAACCAATTTTCTGGTATTTTTGAAAAGGTCCTGTTCACACATTATCTCTTAACGGTAATTTACCAGTAAAGACTATGTGTGAAAGGCTATTATCAAGAACAGGGCGTCCCTCCAAATTTGATTAGAAGACACAGAAAACTGGTCAG